CATGCACATCGCTGCCGGCGTCGCCGTGTCTCGATAACGATTTTAATAGGCCATTTAATTTTTAATTAATTCTTCAAGCGCCAGTTGCCATGTCATAAAAATGTTTGCTGTCATGTTTGGCCGTCGCGCTTGCCCCTTGTCCCTGCCCTCTCCCACTGCAGCTGCGCTCCGCTTGATGATGATGTCTGGGGGCGTTTAACGACATGTTTTTGTTTCATTTTGGTCCTGGCCCTGGCCCTGGCCCTGGCCCTGGCCCTGGCCCTGCATATCATTATTATTCCATCACAATTCATCCGCCATTCGGCGTGTTTATTGAACATTTGGCTATTTATGGATGGTTCTGCGGGGCACGCAAATTTCATTACTCAAACTCTCGAACAGGGAGAGACACTGCCACAGTCTGTAATTAAAACATTCACGATGAACGAAGGAGCAAAACCTCATTGCCCACTCGGCCATTTGCTGCTTGACCTCGGTGCGGTTGGGGGTGGGGGTGGGGTTGGGGGTGCTGCACCCCCATCTAACCTTCAGCATCCCCCATTCTCCCTCTTAGAAGTGCCAGCCCCCCCATGCGCATTGTTTGGTTTTATATTTCAACATTTTTGTGACTCTCTTAATAGCTTTTTGTGAAAATTAATTTCTTAGCTATTAGAGGCGGAGGCTCTGGACAGCCCCCCGCCCCCCAAATCCATCCCCCTGCCACCCCCTCAGTGTGTGTGTGTGTGTGTGTGTGTGTGTGTGTGATGGAGGAGTATTTTGTAATTACTTTATGCCCGAAAATTGCCGTAGTAAAATATTTCTCGCTGGCTTTTGGTTTGGATTTTACAGTCCTGCCCAAGGGCAGGACAAAAGCCTCACCAGGGGTGGGGCAGGGGGGGTGGGTTGCAACCACTCTGGCAAAGCTGTGAACTTGCCTTTGGGGCGTGCTTGTGCCACCAACGTTCCATGCATAATCGAATCAAATGCGTTGCCCCGGCTGGCCCCAGACGGGCGAATATGGAAAATGTTTTCATATTTTTCGGTTTCGTTTATCGATGGAAGCGATTTTGCGGTTGTCAATGCGGTATAACAGTTTGTATGACACTTTGAGCTGAAGTATAACAGTTGGTGGAGTCACATTTTGGGAGTCTGGCAGTAATTCATTCGTGTATAACAGTTGGTATAACAGTTGGTATAACAGTTGGTATAACAGTTGGATAACTTTATGTTTGGCAGTCTGTCAGTATTTCATTCGTGTATAACAGTTGGTATAACAGTTGGCATAGCAGTTTGATAACAGTTTGTATAACAGTTGGTATAACAGTTGGAGAACTTTAATTTTGCGAGTCTGGCAGTAATTCATTCGTGTATAACAGTTGGTATAACAGTTGGTATAACAGTTGGTATAACAGTTGGATAACTTTATGTTTGGCAGTCTGTCAGTATTTCATTCGTGTATAACAGTTGGTATAACAGTTGGCATAGCAGTTTGATAACAGTTTGTATAACAGTTGGTATAACAGTTGGTATAACAGTTGGATAACTTTATGTTTGGCAGTCTGTCAGTATTTCATTCGTGTATAACAGTTGGTATAACAGTTGGTATAACAGTTGGATAACTTTATGTTTGGCAGTCTGTCAGTATTTCATTCGTGTATAACAGTTGGTATAACAGTTGGTATAACAGTTGGATAACTTTATGTTTGGCAGTCTGTCAGTATTTCATTCGTGTATAACAGTTGGTATAACAGTTGGTATAACAGTTGGATAACTTTATGTTTGGCAGTCTGTCAGTATTTCATTCGTGTATAACAGTTGGTATAACAGTTGGTATANATTATTTTTGGTATATGAGTTGGCATCGTTGTTTGATATCTGTTTGTATAACAGTTGGTATAACAGTTGGTATAACAGTTGGAGAACTTTAATTTTGCGAGTCTGGCAGTAATTCATTCGTGTATAACAGTTGGTATAACAGTTGGTATAACAGTTGGTATAACAGTTGGATAACTTTATGTTTGGCAGTCTGTCAGTATTTCATTCGTGTATAACAGTTGGTATAACAGTTGGCATAGCAGTTTGATAACAGTTTGTATAACAGTTGGTATAACAGTTGGTATAACAGTTGGAGAACTTTAATTTTGGGAGTCTGGCAGTATTTCATTCGTGTATAACAGTTGGTATAACAGTTTGATAACATGTATAACAGTGGTATAACAGTTGGAGAACTTTATTTTTGGCAGTCTGGCAGTAATTCATTCGTGTATAACAGTTGGCATAGCAGTTTGATAACAGTTGGTATAGCAGTTGGTATAACAGTTGGTATAACAGTTGGATAACTTTATGTTTGGCAGTCTGGCAGTAATGTATTCGTGTATAACAGTTGGTATAACAGTTTGATAACATGTTTAGCTACAGTATAACAGTTGGTGAAGTTTCATTTGGAATGATGGCGGTAATACAGCAATGTATAACAGCTTGTATAACAGTTGAAACGACCAACGACTGACCACGAAAGGGCGAGAGCTCTCTGGGCGGCTTCCTGCCTCTTCCTGCAGGGATCTGCTCTGCTCTGTGGGCTGCTCTAAGCAGCTTACATATTTACATATTTACATGTGTGCGTACATAATGTTGTACATTTTGAAGCACCACTTGAAGCGGGTGGCGAGTGCTCCGTGCATATTTCAAATGCTGTTCATAGATGGAAAACGGCGGCGTTTGTTTTGCAATCAGCACAGAACCCAAGTTTCAGCAGCAAAACAAAAACAACAGCAGAAGCCAGGAGAAAGGAGACAGGAGACAGGAGACAGAAGCCAGAAGCCAGGAGAGTGCGTAAATAGTTTTAATTAAAATAACTGAGTGCTGAAAAGTAAGCGGCAGCAAATGCAAATTAAAACGTATTAAAAAGTTGGGCAAAACATTCCTGTTGTTGCATGCCACTTAGATGGCATCAAGAAGGATCCAAGAACAACCCCAGCGAATGCCTGTGGCCCTAACCCTTGACCCTGCACCACTCCACTTGGGCGACCATCTCCATCTCGATTGCACAAATTTCAATCCCCCAACATGGAAATCGTTTTTGCTCGTCCACAGCTTTTGGGGGCTTGCTAAAAGTTTGGGGGCAACCCACAGGCAGCAGCCCAATCTGGACACTCCCACGCATAATTGCCATGCTTGCCCCTTGTGCAAATCTTTCCACAGAGTTGTGGCAGCAGCAGGAACGGGCACGAGGGCAACGACATGTGTGCGTCGTTAGTTAGTTAGTTATAACTACATACAATTTTATGGACGCCATATTGTAAATGTTATAATTTTCACTAACAATTTTTAGCAACCGTTGCCCCGGTCCGGGGGTGTGGCAGCAATGAACGATGGCACACACGACGTATACTTACTGCGCGGCTGTGTCTCTGCCTGTGTCCGTGTCTGTGCCATGTTGCTGCCAGAATGATGATAATTTTCAGCAACTTTTTGTGTGTGTGTGTGTGTGTGTCCCAGAGGGGGGTGGCGGAGCTTTAGTCCTGAACTTGCACCGCCTGCTCCTGCTCCTGCTCCTGCTCCTGGGGCATGGCTCTCTGTGCCCGTTCCCCGTGCACTTAAACGTGCTTCGTGTTTTAAAGTATTCTTAACATTAACATTAAGCACGGATCACGGGGGATTGCTGGGGGGGGGGGGGGGGGGGGAA